GAAACTTAACAATAGTTGGCTACTGCAGCGCGTACAATTTTCAAGAAAAAGCTGGTGATAGCGCCTCATTTCACAAATTAGAATTTTTAGATATTTTTATTTTTGAAACCGAGATTGATTTTTAAAAATTTAGCATGTTTATCAAGCACAATTAATGTTCTAAATAATTATAAAGCTCAATCCATGCTTTCAGGTCTGGATATTTTTTTAGCTTTTACTATGCTGTAAGGAAATTTGTATCTCCTCCTTTTAAAAAATAATATTTTAAATCTGAACTAATAGAAAAATTCAAACAAACAATTTTCTCGCACTGTGAAAAAAACAACAGAATTTAGAACCATCAAATTTTGAATAACGTAATCCTCCACCCGAACATGGGCACCTGGACGGCCTAATTTCGAATTTGTTTTAATCCATTTCATATTTTGTAAGTTTAATGCAGTTTTTATTAAGAAACTCAGCGTTTTCAAAGCAAGCAGTGGCAACCCTGTACAGAAAATAACATTTTTATCTCCAGCGCGGAAATTCTAAAGATATGTCATTTTCAAATATTTTGTGATATTGTTCTTGAATTGAATTTTATGTGGTTTACTTGCGAAGAACATGATGTTTAATAAACAAAGGTAACACGCAAAACGTTACAAAAACGCTCCTTTGGGCGTAATATTAAATTGTATTCCTGAGTGCTTCCAGAGTTTATCTTTTTTTCCCCTCATTACACTCAAAAAAGTGTAGACTCCGAATTTTATGAATTACTAAAATAAATAATCATCTTGTAATGTTAATAATTAATGATCATATAATCAAATAAATGATCGTCTTGTTATATTATAATAATTTTAAAAACTACTGCCTGAAAATGCTCATAAAATCAAAGAAAATTATCAGATCTTGTTTAATTTTACCTTATTTGTTTCAAAGCATCATATGCTATGAGTATTATTTAATTTTACTTTGTTTGTATACAAAAATAAGTTCATAAGTTTTGCGTTTAGAATTTTTACCGTTTTACTAAAGTAAAGGATTGGATTATTTAATTATGGCAAAGCACACGAGGGCTATCTGCCTAAAGGCAGGGATGCCTTCGTGGGGAACTTTCTAAGGGAAACTGGCTCGTATACACGTTACACATGGGGAAAACCACGAAAACGCCCATGCAGCCAGCCCGTTCGCGGGATTCGAACCTCAGACCAAACTACCAGTGTTCAGCGTCTTTACCGCAGACTTTTCTCTCCTTTCACTGAGATACATACTGATAATAAATGAATAAGTCTATATAAAGGAAAAGGAACATGTCGACACATCGCATTAAGAAAAGGAAGAAGTCTAGATTTGCGGAGATTTTTATATAAAATCCAAGATGTTTTACATACTAATGTTTTAAATTTTTATATAAAATCTGCGCCTATCTAACTTTTTTTTGGATTAATTTAGCAAACTTATAAATAATTGTTTATATTATAAACTGACAGACAAAATAATTGATAAACGTACAGAAAAGATATTACATTAATATATAGTACTCTGTGTTTTATTCAGCTTACGAACATGATTTATGCAATAATATACAAGTAATAAATAAGAACTTTTATTAATGTTAATGACACATTTGTTAAATATAAAACATATTTATCATAAACTCCATAACGAAAACTATTTGAATATACGATTTTTGTAGAAAATATGTAAAGTTTTTTCTGTCTTAAAAATCCTTTTGGTACACCAAACTACTTAAATACATGACTTTTGTAAAAAAATATGAATACTAAAGTTTTTTCCTGTTTCCTTTTAATTTTCTCTCAGCCTGCTGTTCTCTAATTCCCAGCCCCTCAATAAGTGTAATTATAACACTGGTGGCCAAAATTAATCATAAAGAAAAAATCCTTCTTTATTAAAATTTGCGTCTCCTAACCTTCATTTCCGGAAAATTATTTATCAATACCTGGGCGTCCATTTTCTCAGCCATCTCAGCTTCAACGCTCAATAGCGATAGGTTTAACAACCGATCTTGTATCATAGTGTTTCTTAAATATGTTTATATAATTGAAAATGACGTCTCGCTCGTGGCTGTGATTACAGGTAATGATAAATACAATATAAGTGAATTGCACACTCCCGAATAACTGCTTGTTATGTCATAGTATTTTACCATTGCTAATTCAGCTAAATCCTTAACGGATTTCAAATTTTGGATTTCGGTTCTGAAAGTATTTATAAATAATATAAGTTGTACTTCCAGTGCATTAACAAAGTCTTCTTTATATGTTTTTTGTATTTTTGAAACATTATTAATAATTTCCGTATTTGTTAACGGTGACAGTGTTTTAGATTCCAAAAATGAAAATATCATTGTGATTTTTGTCATTTCTGTTATTCTGTACTTTAACTGAGTATTTAAAATATCGAGAGCAGAATAAAAAAACTGTTACTTTAAAAGGCATTTCGGAATTTTCAAGTCTGTTATCCTCACATAACTCATCAAATTTTTTTGTCTTTATTTTTCTTTTATTTTTCAAACTAAGTTTCTATGCCTCATTTATTTGCAATAAACTCAGCTTCTTTCATAATGTCTTCAAACATTTTTCACATATCTTGCATATCCCTCTGAGTTATGCAGCGGCGACAAAGAATGCAACCAAGGAGACAGGATGTGATTCCAGACATCCAACACTGCCGGTTACAGCAAAACCCAAAGCTGTAACCCCAGCAGTCACATCAGCAGAGAGTGCCGACTCGGACGATATTTTCGCCTCGACTCTAAAATGCTTGATTGACATCTCCCGCGACCCAGTGGTAGATAAGCATATTTTGCTACTTGCTTTCAAAAAAGACCTGTCACAAAAAACTCACTTTCCATTTGCACTTGAAACGCAAACGGTATTTATAAAAAGATCCATGAAGTGAGAGATTTCATTGCAGAGCACGATCTTAATGTACTTTTGGTCCAAGAGACCCATTTTATCCCAGGGCGAACTCCAAAAATTGGGAACTATGACATTTACTTGACTGACAGGGTGTCATATGGCAGACACGCAAGTGGTGGCACCTGTATCTATGTGAAACATTCGATTAAGCATCACATGATACCTCCCCCTGATTTGGAACATTTGGAAGCGACTATAATTAAAATTTTCATGCAAAATTCTCCTCCCCTTACTATTGTTTCGGCATACCTTTCCCCACAAGGAGCTGCTCGTGAGAGGAATGTTTTTCCTGTCAGTGATTTTGATAAACTTTTGGCAATTTCAAACCACCTAATCATTGCTGGCGATCTAAACTCACGCCATACCGCATGGTTTTGTCCTAATAGGAGCAGGTTTGGCATTAATCTAAATTCATCGGCTCAGAGCTCCCATGTGACTGCAGTTCTTCGAAGAACCAATTCCCTGGCTTCCTACTTATAAGTATCTAGGAGTGATACTTGATTCAAAATTAACTTGGCAACTTTACATCCAAAAAACGATTTCCAATGCGAAGGTTGGAAATCGTTTTTTGGATGTAAAGCGGGAAATTGACACTTTTGCCAATATTCCTAATTCTGGTCATGTATGAAAGCATTGTGGAGTCGTGGAACCACGAATTCATTAATTCAAATAAAGGGAGCTTAACAAAGAGATTTTCCCCTTCTATCAAAATGAGATGGTCATGTCATCACTTTTTCACAGACTATAAATTTCTTACTCGCCATGGAAATTTCAAAAGTTATTTGAATAGATTTAAGTTGAGCTCTGAGTCTGTCTGTGATTGTAGCCTCGGTGGAGAGGAGAATGTTGAACATGTGCTTCTTCTATGTCCTAAATATAAGAACGAAAGAAAAGTCTTGAAACTGGAACTGAAAAACTTAAATATTAACTGGCCTCCAGAATTTTATGAATTTATTTCCGAGAGAAGTGCTTTTAACACTTTTTGTCAATTTATTGTGAAACTTTGTAATCATCCTTAATTTTATTTCAGTTTTTTTTCTGTTTATTTTGTATTGTGTTTCATACTTACTTCTGTAAGCCCTATGTGATACTATGTGGTACATGGGGAACTTATTGGGTTTCTTTAATTAAAAAAAAAAAAAAAAAATTCGAAGGTCGTCAAAACCCAATTACTGCCTTTTTTCGCTAGAAATAGTGACCTGTCCACGAAAAACAGGATTTTTCTCTATAAATCAATGATAAGCCCAATTCTGACCATATACTAGTCTTGTAGCCACTGCGAGTCTTGTATGAGGCGCAGCAGCAATTACTAACAGGAAACATATCCAAACTTTTCAGAATATTATGCTACGACAAATTTATAAAGCTCCTTGATTTGTTACGACCGAGGACATTCATAATGCAGCCAAAATTCTCCCTGTGAATCGCTTTATACAGCGACTTTCGGCTAATTTTTTTCAAAAGATTCCTTCGATCGGGAACCCCGTACTCCACTGTCTGCCTATTTATCATCTGGGAATTGCATCATCAAGAAAGAGACCCAGAGCTACTTTGGAGAACGCATATAATGCGCTTCCTTTTCCCAAGAGGCGTTGCTATGGAAACGAGGCGCCTCGAAGGTTTCACTACACTCGTTCGCGTGCCCCCCCCCGCCTGAGTGAATTCGCTGATCTTTCAGCTTCCCTCAGAGTCACTCTCTCTTTATCCCGTAATCAGGCAATCTTATTTCTTTCAAACGTAAGCGGTTGTCAACTGACTTTAAGCACGCTTTTGTTCCCTTCTTAAAAGGGTTCTAGTGCATTGAGTATTATTTTTATTTAATTTTAACTTAATCTCACTATGAGAATTGATACTATTTTTCATTAGTTGACATAACACTTAAAGCTGAAGTAATCATTTTATATTTATAAAAGTTTCTCCTGAGAGGCATTGCTGGCCGTGTCTCTTTAAATCAAACTCGCCTAACGAGTTCCCGCTTCTCCTCCCCTCCCAGACTTGAAGCACTTGCGACATGAAATTTTTCGCGAGTGTTTCCGCTCTCGTGTTGTTAACACCACATGACCATTTATCAAGGAAACGTCGATGCTTGTCAAAATTCATAATGTAACCCCCTCAAAATTGATTCTGACCCTATTTCGACACAAAAAGTTTACTAAATTAAGTCCTTCAGTGTTTTTACTTTTTTCTTTACTGTGGAAGGCAGTTACTCTTTTGTTAAATTTAACATTTGACACTAAATTTTACCTCTTTGCGGAACCTTCTTTTTGGCGATAAAAATAATTCTTTGATGATGTGAGTATCACAGCTTTGGTGGGGATAAAGGCAATAAGCCTATGTGCCTCGTAATAGAACCCTTCCTTGGTCCTTGGCTAGTGATTGGTTGTGATAAATTAGCGTAAGAAGTTTGGTTTAAAACATGGCGCTGGTTTGTTTAGCTGTGTAAAATGCATTACAGAGAAAACTCTGTCACTCAGGTGTTGTGGAGTATAGCAAGATGAGTCTACGGTTATTTCTTATTTTTTGAATTTATTCTGTTGCATAGTTTGAAGAAATACCATTTCACTTATCGAAAGTAAGTATGTTGTTTAATATTTACTCGGTAATTACTGTAATTTACAATTAAAATTACAAATGTGTATTTTATATGAGATTTAAACGGTTTCGTTTGATTACTTGATTATGGTAAAACACGTGAAGCAAATCATTTTCGGGAAAAATGCCATTGAAGAAGAATTTCTATGTTTATATTTACCTTTCGCATACCGATGGTTGCAACAGTGGCTGAACTCCAGACCTAATCTATCATGCCTTTACAGTGAAGTTGTACTTTCCTATTGATTTGTAAGGAAATGTTGGGTGCTCTGGGATTATCAACTCTCTAGGCAGCCAAGGGTTTGGCCCCTGTATCGAGTAAATGTTAATTTCTTGATTAATCCCAAAACACCCTCCCACTTTGTACCTTAACTACTTCTCCTTTACTCTAACATTTTTTTTTGGTTATATTTCTAGTAAAGTATAACTGTAATTAGAATTTGTTTTATTGAAAACGGGGCCTTTATTAACAAGGTAAATTTTTTTAAACTCTTTTCATTGTAGGTAGCATTATTAATCTTATCAACACCTCTTATGAATAATATCAGTTGAGCAGTATCATTTACATAACTGCTTTCATCCATAGCTATGGAGCAGAATTTAAACTTTCCAATCTTTGATTCTAACTGTGATGCCAGATTTTCGTTGATGGCTTTGATTTTAGAAGTCACTGTTTGGAACTACTCTTATACACACCCTTGGTTGGCGATAAATTTCACCCAAAAGTGTTTGCCTAGAAACTCCAGGGTGCTATATTACTATCTAAATTGTTTGTCTGTATTTCAAACTTTAAGTTTAAAATGTCTGCAAAATGCACAGTAAAAGTATATTTTAGGGTACCCCTTGGCGAAACTTGTCGATTTTTGATGATACATGGATACCAAGTTTGTGCAGTTCTTTGACTTATTATTTTGGCCGCTACACAAAGTCCAAATAACAAGACAAAGAATTGCACAAACTGCGACTAGACGCGTATCCTTCCTACATACAGGACACTTATAATTGCTACTAAGTAAACCTTCATTTACACATCGGTCAATTAACACTCTTTTTCCCTTTCATTCCAAATCGTACAGAAACTTCAAATTAATCTTACTACATTCAGCCATTCTACCGTCTAAACAATAAAACCAACACACACCACAAAAGCGCTTACAAAACATCCCGGTTGATCTTTGGATTATGGTAACTTGGCGATTTTTTAGCGAAAATTTGGCGACCAACTCTCCTACAGCAACCCTCTATTTTTTTTTTCCCGCCGCCATTTTGTCTTCACGAAGTAAAGACATGTTTCTTTTCTTTTTATCTACTGAACACTTCTTCCAACAATCTACTAGCCGAATTACACTTATGCTAGAAATTTTATCTAACAAAACTGCTTAATCATGACAAATATTAACTGCAAAATTGGGAAAAAGTGCACAATCGCAAACTCCTTGCGTGTTTTTCAGAATAGCACATACACATAAACCATTTACACGTCGACTTATTTTTACTTAAAAAAACATCCCAGAATTGCACAAAAATGGCATTGCACACACTCTTAACTTTATCCATCTACACTACTATTTTCTCATAAATTACAAAAATTTGCACAAAAAATGCAAAAAATTCTGTGAATCTTTAAAAAACTCGGTAAAAAGAACATATATGAAATTACCTGATCGTGAAAAAAGTATATACCCTTTGCAAGGATGAACATTTCCACGTATAAAATAAATAAAAAATATCCCAAAAACTTTTACCTCTAAATTATCTATTATATTATAACGTCACCAATGAATTCATACCGCAAACATTACAAATGGTTACAAATACTTAGTGTCAAATATTTAAATTACTTCAATGCACGTTTACTTCAACTTGAAACGTATAACCAACAATTCCTACAAACATAAAATTCACAAAATAACTATCATTTAATTAAAATATTCACTAAACCATGTACACGTCGACTTATTTTTACTTAAAAAAATCCCAGAATTGCACAAAAATGGCATTGCGCACACTCTTCACTATATCCATGTACACTGCTTTTTTCTCATAAATTAGAAAAATTTCACGAAAATGCATGACAATTTTCTGAATCTTTAAACCCGTTAAAAAGAACATATATGAAATTACCTAATAACGAAAAAGTGTGTACCCTTTCCAAATATGAACATTTCCACGTATAAAATAAATAAAATATCCAAAAACTTTTACCTCTAAATTACCTATTATATTATAAACGTTATCAACGAATTCATACAGCAAACATTACAAATACTTAGTGTCAAATATTTAAATTATTTCCATGCACGTTTACTTCAACTAAAATGTATACCAAATTCCTACAAACATAAAATTCACAAAATAAGTATCATTTAATTAAAATGTAATTAAATTCAAAAACACCACTTAAAATATAAAGAAGCACATACATTTAAATTATAAAAATTAAGCTTACAATCCTAATTACTTTAAACTAAATCATTGCTTAATAACAATTTCCCAATAATACCAAATTACTTTACTTCCACCTTACATTAGAACAATGCATAAAATAATATCCTCAAATAATTAAAAATACTAACTTACCTAATCTTCTTGAGAATCTTGATTACGTGTCCGATAAACTTTTTATTTCTGTTTCAGGATCTTTAAAATCATGCTTATAGTTCACAGCAAGGTACCAGGTAAAATAAATAACTTAATAAAACATCTTTACTTCTATCTCGCACACCTTAAACAAACACTTATTTTTACCCCTTTCAATCCACTAAATACCCATTTCGAATTCACTTTAGTTAGGGCCATGGGATCCAAAAATTAATCAACACTGTTTCACACAACACACTATGAAGCTAAATACAAAATGCTAAACGCAATAAAAATTTCCAGATTTTTTTCCCGATTTCCCCCGTTTTCCGATTAAAGAACCGTAATTCGTCCATTAATATCACATGACATATCCCATGATCTCTCAATTCCCTCACACAAAATAATGCGTAATTGGAACTGAGTACTGCTCACATTATTACCAAAGTCCCAGGTACTTTATCGCCTCCAAAATGTTGCCAAACTACCAGTTACCACATTCAAAAGATCAGCCGAAATTTTATGTAACAAAACTGCCTAATCATGACAAATATTAACTGCAAAATTGGGAAAAAGTGCACAATCGCAAACTCCTTGCGCGTTTTTCAGAATAGCACATACACATAAACATTTTACACGTCGACTTATTTTTACTTTAAAAAAAATCCCAGAATCGCACAAAAATGCCATTGCACACACTCTTAACTTTATCCATCTACACTGCTATTTTCTCATAAATTACAAAAATTGCAACGAAAAATGCACAAAAAAAATTCTGTGAATCTTTAAACTCGGTAAAAAAGCACATATATGAAATTACCTGATCGTGAAAAAGTATATATCCTTTCCAAGGATGAACATTTCCACGTATAAATAAATAAAATATCCAAAAAACTTTACCTCTAAATTATCTATTATATTATAAACGTCACCAACGAATTCATACCGCAAAATACAAATGGGTTACAAAACTTAGTGTCAATATTTAAATTATTTTCCATACACGTTTACTTCAACTGAAATGTATACCAAATTCCTACAAACATAAAATTCACAAAATCACTATCATTTAATTAAAATATCACTTAAACCATGACAGTCACTTATTTTTCCTTAAAAAAAACATCCAGAATTGCACAAAAGTGGCTGTGTGCACACTCTTCTCTATATCCATGTACACTGCTTTTTACTCATAAATTAGAAAAAGTTCATGAAAATGCATGAAAATTTTGTGAATCTTTAAATCCGGTAAAAGGAACATATATGAAATTACCTTATCGCAAAAGTATATACCCTTTCCAAAGAGAACATTTCCAGGATAAAATAATAAAATATCCAAAAACTTTAGTCTAAATTATCTATTATATTATAAACGTCACAAACGAATTCATACCGCAAACATTACAAATGTTTACAAATACTTAGTGTGAATATTTAAATTACTCCATGCACGTTTACTTCAATGAAACGCATACCAAATTCCTACAAACATAAATTCACAAAAAAATATCAGTTAATTAAAATATCACTAAACCATGTACACGTCGACTTATTTTTACTTAAAAAAAAACCCAGAATTGCAAAAAATGGCATTGCGCGCACACTCTTCACTATATCCATGTACTGCTTTTTTCTCATAAATTAGAAAAATTTCACGAAAATGCATGAAAATACTTAACGTATCTATTGAACCTATTCCAAAATACTACAAACATATAACTCACAAATCACGATCATTAATTAAAATATAATTAAATAAAAAAAACACTACTTAAAATATAAATAAGCACATACATGAAATTAATAAAAATTAGATTACAATCCTAATTACTTTAAATAATCATTGCTAATAACAATTTTCCAATAATACCATATTAATTTATTTACTCCTTACATTTAGAACAATGCATAAAAATAATCTCCTCAAATGATAAAAATACTAATTACCTAATCTTCAGAATCTTCACTCGTGGCACGCACACTTCCACTATTTCACGCAACACACAATGAAGCTTAATACAAAATGCAGCTATAGTACTGCAGATGTTTTTCCAAATTTATCCCCTTTTCCGATTAAAGAACTGTAATTTATTTGTCCATTAATGTCACATGCCATATCTCATGATCTCTCATTTCCCCTCACACAAAATAATGGTAATCGGATGAGTACTTTCACAATATTACCAAAGTCCTAGGTAGTAACCTTTATCGCCTCCAAAATGTCGCCAAACTACCAGTTACCATATTCCAAAGATCAGCCAACATCCCATGATTCAAAATTTCCCAGAATCATGCATCCGATTACAGCACAATAGGGTTTCCATAACATTCAACTACTCAAGCTACCATAAATGAAACAAGAACTTCGCCATAATACAATGGGTGTGCAAAAATCACGTT